TCATAAATGCCTTACATTGAACCCATCAAAATTAATAATGAGAAAAAATAAAAATATAAAAAAATACATAAATAAGTATATCATCATTAATTATTATACCCACTACCTAAAGTTAACCTTAGACTCTAAAAAGGAAATTTCTTTACCAAAAGTTTTTTCAATTATTTTTCGATTGTTATTGTTTTCCATTCTAATGATTTTCTGTTAGTCTATTTGAAATACCTTCATTTTAAATTCAATAGTTTAAATGTCCGATCATCAATCAACGGTGCTTAAATTGACCAGACACCGGGCACTTGGGGGCAAAATATCATCCACTTTAGGCTCTAAAAATAACAAAGATACTTTACCAGCGGTCTTGTTAGCTGGGCGTTTTATCTTGTCGACTGGGGACAGCTGTTGTTTAGCTGAAATTCATTAAATATTAATGAGCTTAAAAGCGGAGAGCAATTTGTCGAGCTGCAGCAAAAAGGAAATTCTAATTTTGCTACTGACTTGCTTGGATAAATCGCCTTGTTCTCGCTGTAGTGAGAGGCAGTAAAACATATGGGGGGGCCCGGAGCGTGGGTGACTTCAAACCCTGCTCTGACTATTTGATTTTTCATTTGTGCACTTTTCATTTAAGCGGACAGCGACAGCAAAAATTGCAACTGGCATTCAACAGCAAACGGAGGACCTAATGGTCGAGTGACAGCAACGACTGAAAGAAACGAACGGAAACAGCAGCTAACATATTCCTCTTACAGGCAAAAAAAAAATAAGAAAAAGAAGCTGCTTGCCCAGACTTTCCACAACTTTACATGGAAAGTTTATATGTGTGATGGCGAACGAGTTGAGGCAAAGCAAGCCAAAGAAACTTATGTTCTTTGATTAAGATTAAAGACTCGCGCTGAACTGACGCTGAACTAGTTCCAATAACATCGATAGATTTTGTGTTATCGATTGTTTGCAATGCTTAAAGCAATTGTACCAGGGTCTTTATGAAAAATATACATACATAGGAATACCTAATTTAGTGGCCTTAAATAAATGTAGAATTCTGTCTTATTTAGGCACAAAATTCATTTATTATCAATTTTAATAAATTAGATTGTTGAATCATTTTCATAGTTCATTATTATATTCGAATTAATTATGATATTAAATAATCATATTATTCGATTGGCACATTTTTCATTTGAAAATCGAGAGTCCAGGTATTAAACGAAGTGTCCTTTCATTTTTTAATCAGCGCAACCCTTGTCCCATAAGCACGAGTAGATTTATGGGCAACACTGTTCAATGTCAAACTAAAATCTACAAGTCACGCGAGAATATTTGAGAATTTTTTTTTCTTGAATTAAATACAAAATAATAGAATGTCTGACACCAATAACAATTTGAATGTTCAAGAAATCTCACGACGTTGGAACAACGGCGCAAATTCATATCAAAACCAATCGGCAGAAGTTGGTATTGAAATAGATTTGGATGATGGCTTACTGTTGAATTCGTATACGGAGTCGGGAATGGATGGGGAACGCAGCCGCAACTTCAACTCACCAATAGCCTGTGTCGATGTATTGGAATCGTTGCATCAGGATGCGTCTGTGGATGGGCAGGTAAATGTAGCACTGCCATCTTCTTGGCCAGCTGAGAGCCAAGCTAACTGGGAACTGGAAAGCTCGCCTGCCCCGTCGGTTGTTGTGGAAAACAATCAAGCATTAGATGAAGATGAATTCGATTCAGAATCGGAATCCGAGCTGGAATTTATCTTTGAAGAAGCGCCGCCCATCAATGGCATCAGATTCTACAATCCAAATTTCCAACCATCGGTTGCAGCTGCACAATCAATCGAAGCCAATGCTAATCCGACGGCCAATGCAACGGCCTTGCCCAATATCAGCCAGGTGAACAACTCGCGCCTGGACCTGCGCCCGGTGCCTGCCTCAATAGATCTAACACGCAATCGACCCTCAGCCACCTGGCGTGACTATCATGCTCGTGTCCGTGCCTCGGCACAGGGCCGTCCGGCTGCAAGCAATGGTATACAGCGGCTCTGTGCTGGACAGCCAACTAATCAAGTTCCCATGTACATGGATGAGGAAATCGGTGCCTTTGTATTCTTTCGCAACGATACCGATTCGGAGGAGGAGCCGGCGCCGCCTCCATTAGTCATGGTACCGCGACGCGGCAATAGTGTCAGCGATCTTAGCCAGTGCAGCAGCGACGACGAGTCCGATCCTAAATAAACATCCATGTGAACTGAGAGACTTCCCCTTAATATACAAAATATATAAACTAAGCATGCAAAATGCTTGAAACAATGCAAATAGAGAAAACATAATGTGGAAATATGAAATCCTAAGGAAAATCTTTCATAAAACTTAGTGTACGTGCAATTTGATGTAATGCATAATTATATAATTTAATTGTTTATTTGTACTTGTTATATCAATTCGCACAATAGCTGCTAGTTACATTTATTAATAATAAATTATTTAAAAATGTTTTGCATTTGTTTTAAAATATTTTAGTTATATTTTTTTGTCAAGATGCTTGCATCTTTAATAATGTTTAATTATTTTATCCATTAAATTCATGAATCAAATTCAAATTCGACTGCTAAGCAATTGAATTCTGCCCTTAAAAATTACGATTGGATTTCGAACTCTTACTCAACACTGAGTATATCAATATTTCTCATTAAAATATATGTATCCGTTTGTCATTCATTTCATTTATTGGTGGTCAGGCTCTCTCCTTGCCCTGCTCTCCACTCAAATTGTTTAATGAACATTTTAAGCAATTTGCTCCGAGAATAATTTTGCTTAAATAATTGCAATCGAGAAATGAAGCCCACGACAAACAATGTGCTGGGAACAAATCTCTGCAGTAGTTTTAGGAGGTGGTGGTAGGGAGGTTGAGGGAGTGGGAACTATAAATTTGCTAGTCCATGGACCAATGCCAGGCAGTTGGTTGGCTCTGGGAAATTTATATGCCAGCTGCCTGTCGCAACGTTGTCCGCCTATACAAATATACACCCACATACACAACCACACACCCACCCACACATCCACGCACGGCCTCTTCTTCTTTGTTATGCAAGTTAATCCTTTTTATAGCTATTGTTCAGCGCATCAAAGCTTTACAGCTACCCCGCACATCCTTCCAGCTGGCAGCAGCCTAGAACACACGCACGCCCTGCGCATTTGTTTCAATGGAGCAGCTGCGAAGTGGACCGTGGATGGGGCGCCTGAGGGGAACGGCAGCAGATGTAGCTATAGCACATGTCACTGCATTTTTCAGCGACTCCGAGAGGCGACACAGCCAACATATTAGTTGCCACACATATTTGGTGGCCCAGCCAGTGGGCAGCGGCGTGGGCGGTGTGCGTATGGCATGAAAGGGGGCACGGGCTAGGGCGTGGGCTGGGGCTGGGGCTGGGGCTCGGGCTCGTTCTCGGGCTCGGGTTGATGCATGTGCATCTTCTTGATAGCTTGGGCTAAATCTGGCGCATGCTGTGCTATGGCGCCGGCGTTGCTGTTGAGCGTGTTTGTGTGGCATGCCGCAAATTCATTATTATTTTACCCAACGCCCACTCAAGCAGCCGCAGTAACTGTATAAACACCCAGCATATGAAGTAGATAAGCACAAAACGAAGGGTGTACCCGGGAAACCGGGAAAGCGTGAAAAACAAGCTTAAAGCAATGGCGGCACATCATGAAAGCACTTAAAGACTTTTCACACTCGAAGACAACAAGTGCACAGGTGAAAGAATGAAAGACGTGCGAAGTTTGTTTTATCAAAATAACTTAGGTCCACGTCAAGCGGTGCAACAAGATTGAAGAGGAATTTTATCAATTGGAAGTTTTCTTCTAGCGATTTGTCAAAAATATAAAATAAAGTTGAACTTTATATTTGAGAAATTTCAACTCATAAATAAACAGTTTCTTTTAAGCAATTTTTTGCAACTATCAAACAACTTTAACCTCTGACCTCGAGCACCCAATATCCGTACATGGCTAAAGCAATAGGACAACATTTCAGTCAACGGCAACTGCTGCAATTTCTCATTTTAATAAAAATGCAAATGTCTGTTCCTCAAAGTGAAAGAATGACGCTTTCTTTACTGTTTCCTTCCGCATTTCCTGCCTTTTCCCCCCTCATTTTCACTCTTTTTCAGCGCATTTTCTCATATAAAACGTTGGTAAAACTTTTTGATTTTTCTCCAAGTTGGCTAAGGCAAAACAAAATAAAAAGGAAAACAAAGGAAAAAAGAGTCACATGCAATAAGGAAAATGCGCTTTCAATAAGCCAAGCAAAGATAACAGCAAATGGTGATGAACTCTGGAAGAATTTTACCGCCTGGCAACTGTTTCAGTTGGATGCAGTAGTTAGCCAGCCGGAGAAAACCGTTGGCTGCTTCCCTATTAAATTAGTTACATTTTTTAAATAATAACAAAATTTACGATAGAACAGTAAATAGAAAGTGGCCATGTTTCAGATGATGAAGAGTATTTTGTATATTATTATAGATAGAATTTTCGTGAAATGCGGAAGATGAAAAAATAAGTTCTTTTTAATATTATGAATGGAATGAGTTTCTTAAAGGATGTTCATACAATATTGCTTTGATTTGATTTGGCAATATAACAAAATTTTCGTCGGGAGTGACCAATGAGAAGACACCCTGTAGTCAGAGAATATACCATGAAGAAGAGTTTACACGTGGTAATAGTTTTGGCATTCATAACTTAATTTATAAGTACAAGAAAAGAAAGACTTCGCCTCTTAAGTTACCTCTTTCCGATCAGCCAGGCATTGTTATAAGTCAACCTTCACACCAAACATGATGTTGTATATATATATATAATGCTCATAAGATTAAGATGCGATATTATTGATTGCTTGAAAAGTCGTGGCTGTAATATTTAGTGGCTATTCTAACAAAACGTTTTATTAATAGCTAAATTTCTCGTTGAAAAGATATATCGATGATAATAAATGAAAATCGAAACTAAATATAAATATTTATATTCGAAAAACCTTTTTTAGTCCGGCTTTAAGATGCTAAATACAAAAACACAGTGCAATTTGGGCCTTGAATTTAAACGGGTCTACAAATTCCCTAAAGAGAGTTTCAAACAGCGATTTTTCTTCTTCAACTTGATCTATGCAGAGGTCTCTGTCTATTGTTTGTCCGTTGGCATGTTGCTCGCTTTGCTCGGTGTAACCGCTTTCAGCACCGAGACAAGTTTGTTTGGCTTCTGAGCTGGCTGTGTGCTGGGGCCCGCAACTGGTGCTTTTTTATTATCATCTGGCTTGCCGCAGAATTTTTGAAGAGTGCTTTGCACCTTGTCCCCGTTGCTGCCCACAAACTGTTCTAGTTTTACCTTGTTCTTAATGATCAGAAATGACGGCATGCTGCTGACGTCATACTCTTCTGCCAGTTCCACATGATCGTCCACATCGACCTTGACTATAAGTAAACAATCCTCATACTCGTGGGCAAGCTCCTCAAGGCGTGGCCCAATCAGGGCACAGGGGCCACACCAGGTAGCAAAGAATTCCACCAGGACATGCTTATTGCCAGCCTCCGCGACGATCTTATCAAAATCTTCTTTCGATTGGATGGTTATGACCTTTTTTGGTTTGTTTTTGTTTGTGGCGGCAGATGCCATGTGTGGAAGGTGTCTGTGTCAAATTTTGTACGCCGAAAAATGAAAAATTTTTAATATGTTTTAGGATCTTTCGAGATCATCTGACTGACAAGTATTACTAAGCTAGGACTGAGACACACAGCTACAGAGTGGCCTACAGAGACGAACAAGTGTTCATTTAATCACATTTATTCTATTTTTATTTCTTCTGTTTTTACTTCAACAATTCAAAAGCTCATCGAAGGTTCAATAGACGGAAGGACACCTTTTAGATTTTGAAAATATGTTTTGAAATGCTTTGTACAATCCCATAATTTAGTAAAGATACCAAAATGGAATAATTAGGAGGTACAAGCAATTACTAAACTAAGTTGAATAACCAAATTCAGAATCGATTTAGTTTTAACAAAGTGCGGAGTTAAACTTGGGAATTTCACAAATCAAAATTTATGCATTTAGCTAAATATACTCATCTGTCTCAAGCATATTAACTTTAATCCTTTGTACAAAGTACAGACGGAAGGAATAGCAAATCGATAATAATGGCAACACAGCTAAAAAGAGCCAAGTCAAAGTTCGCCCCGGTCACCCACTGTACAAGCATCCAATCTTTTTGGGGCATGTGTGGGCGTGTGAACTTCTTCTGGCAGCTGCAGTTAGTCTGCTTAGCAGCTTGTTGTCGCTTTTAGTTGCACTTAGTTGCCAGTTTGTTTGTTCGGCCTGTCTTGAATTTGTCACGAAATAAGACAAATGCACCGCAGTATCCTTAAGTTGCCCCCAACCAAACCTGCTCGTGACCGCCATTCGCAGCACCTGCATCTGCGGTGCTGCATGTGTGTGTGTGTGTTTACTCTTGCGTGTTGTGGGCGGTTCTTATCTTTTGAGACTTTACCTTAAGGCTTTCAGGTGGTTTTCGTTTTCTTTTAAACATTATATACCCTGTAAGTCTACTGAGAAGAACTGAAAGGGGGGTCATGAAATTGTGCGGAATTATGTATCACTTGAAGGATACGACGAGGATTCGATCCGTCTGCTTGCCTGTCCAGCTGATTTATGAAAGGTCTATATCTATAATTGTTGCATATCTTCTATTTTCTCCCTCTGTTTTTAACCATATTCATAAATATTGAAGAGGAGTATTTAAATTTGTATGCCGCAGTTTTCAGTTGGAAAGTAGCTCGAGCCTCGAGTCTAGAGGGTAGTTCCTAGTCGGGCAATCTTGTTTAATACACTCTTACTTTTTGTTGGCTTGTCTGTTTCGTGCTGTTCCCAAAGCGCGTTTTGGAGTGTTTCTTGCAGTCGTTTGTTGGCCAAGTTGTGTGTGCCAAGAAGTGACGGCTTTAAGCGCTTTAAGCATGCCACCACTTGACATTGAGCTTTCCTTAATAATCCGCTTGTTATGTGCATATGGTGCACTCACTAAACCCACCCATCCCCCACCGCCCACCGCCCACCGCCCGCCGATTCCTTAACTCAGTTGCATAACCTAATGAGCAGTGCAGAGAGACAAATGACAGCGTTTACACAACACACGACCGGAAACAACAGCAGCAGGTGTAGCAGACAAAATGCAACAACAACAATGACAACAACAGCGACAGCAGCGCGAACCGCTACAGTCAACTGTATCAGTGTCAGTTTGTGTGTCATGTTGTGCAATCGCTTCAGCATCCCCAGCAGTCAGCAAGTGCGCCAAGTGCGCGGCTTCCGCTCGCAGAGATTTGCCGCCCATTTATCTCCCAGGCTGGCTATCTCGCTCGCACTGACTATTTGGGGCATCTGCTATGCAGGCAAAGCGAAAGTGCTGACCTCGCAGTCGCACCTTGACACGCGGCGTATGAGCAATGTAATAAAATGGCGAATGGCAAGCGAACAACTAGCGAAATATTTTTCTTTTTCGCCCGTTGACATGCCAAAGAAATGGGAAAGAAATGTTAAAAATAAGCGAATCGCAAAAGTCACGTATGCGGCAAGACAAATTGCTTCAAGTGCAGAGAATGCCACTTTCACTCACTTTCAATCAGTCAGTCAGTCAGTCAGTCAGTTAGTCAGTTAGTCAATTATTCAGTCGGCTATTCATTCAGTTATTTATATTGCGCATACGCCACGTTTCAGAGCATATTTTTATTGCGGTCAACTATGAATTGGGGTTGAGCACCAAATGCTTGTCGCGTTTCCTACGAGGAGGCCAAATCAAGTTTTTGGCTGAAGAATGGCTATGTTACATGCCATGTTTTTGACATTTTGGCCATGGTTTGCTTTTTAAGGTGTTCCCACAAATCAAAGATGAAATATTTTGTTGACTTTTTCGCATATGAGTTTCTGTGAGCATTCCATAATACAGGGTATTTGGTTAGCTGTGCATTCTGCGACTTAACGTTTTGTTGTAAAAGTTCTGACCGGAAAAGCATAAAATAGTGGCAGTTAAAAGTGATTTATGACATTTTTACTTTAGAAAGCGGTTTGAAAAAAAGCACATTCTGCATGGGAATCAATTGTAAGTAGAAAATCGCTTTGTGAGGTCTTCAAAGTGATGGTAAATAATTGTGCACCAAAAAGTATGTTATATGAAAGAAAATGCTGCTTCTCTTGGCATCTTGGCGTGACTTTCTGATTTGTGCCACAATGAAAAGCAGCTGCAAGAGATTTGCCAATTGCCTGAATGAGCTTGTGTCCCAGAACACATATTCAATTGGCTACGATAGGGTTTGGATGTTTGCTTGTCCGGGCTGCTCATATAAACGTAGGCAATAACGAGCACGTTTAAGCATGTCAATGCTGCTGTTGTGTGGTAATTGTCCTGTTCCAACTGCCAGCTGCCAAAATGATGGACAGACCACAACAGCCCAACAACAGCAACAACAACAACAACAGAAGTGGAGAAACAACAAGCAAATTTCATTTCTCGCATTTGCCCAAATTTCGACCTAACTAGTTTATGAACATTTCCCATGCTGCACAGCGGTCCTTGCATTAAGCTCTTCGAGTGCGTTGCTCCCACCAGCCACTAGCCAAAACGTGTGAACACTCTTTCGGTGCAGCTGCATTGAAGTGTCCCAGCCCAAAAGACATTTACATTCATGCTGGGGCCATTGTAGTCAACTACATGCGTTGTTTTCGCTCCTGGCTCAGTGCTTTCAATTTCTGGTACTTGTTTTTATGGGCCAGGATGTCGGCATGTTGTTTGTCTGCCAGACTTGCCATTCGCAGTTTTGTCAACGTGCGAAATCTCTCAAATTTTATTATGCTCGAATTCGCTGAAACTTTTGCAGCCGCCACAGCTGCCACAGCCGTGCCGCATGCCGCAATTTAATGGCGCCTTAATGTCAGCCCATTACTAAGCGCAGGGATCGGGTCCAGCCACCAACTTCAGCTCCCCCACGTTCACATGACAGTTGGCATTTTGGCCAATAACCAAAACGAGGCATGGCCTTAGCTTACAACGCGCCTCAGGCTGGGGCACGCCACCAGATGAGGCCATACATTCTAACAAGCTGCTAATGTGGGCTTTACGTGGACCTCGTTTCTTACGTCTTGAATTTGCGTGGATTCCCAGCTTTGGCTTAAGCCTTGCTACGACGGCGAAAGTTTAACACAGTATTAAATTGCCTGAGTACATAATTTTGATGTGTCCTAATACTTTGAGAACCACACTTTAAACTGAGACCAACATATCCTAACTAGTTTTTCGTCTTGCTATTAAAGTTGGGCACGTAGCAGCTTGTGCCACACTCCTCTTGCCTTATTGATCATTTTAAAACGGAAACATTCCAATAGTCATATATTACCAACTAGTTACCAGTTGCCGCCACACATACCCTGCGCCTGTCTAATCAATAAGCTTAATGTGCCCAGCAAAAGGCGAACAACGTCAACAGAGCAACTGCTAACCAGTCAGCATAAAAGAGTTCAATCAATCAAATGCCACAGCAGCAGTTGAAGAAGGGGTCCAAGTGGTAGCCGACAATCTTTGTGGTAAGGGTTTCAACAAAAAAAAAAAGCAAAAAGGGTTGCCCCGCGCTGCTGCTCCTGATCCTGTTGCTCTTAGGCATTAAAACCACATGTGCTTCAACACAAAACATTTTATGCCCCAGAAATTGGCTTGAGGCGCTGCTGCTGCTGCTGCTCAGGGGGCTGTTGCCAAGGGGGGATGCTAGCTGGGGCAGATACCTCGGCAACGGCAACGGCCCGATTCGGTTCAGTTCGGTTTGGTTCTGTCCTCCTAACAAGCTGCGTCAACAAACTAAACCACTTTGAAATTAACACGTTACATTGACATTGACAGCTTTATGCGTGGCATGCCGAGTGTCGGGTGTCGAAGGAGTGCTATAGAGGAGCGAGCAGCCATCCTGCAACGGTAGCTGTCAGCTACAGTTTGAGCCAAAGGCGTGAACACGTTGAACGGGGGGCGAGGAGGAGGAATGCCAAACGATGCGGCAAATATGACGGTAGCTTATGGAGGCAGCGTAATGCTGACGGAATGGCGGCCGGAAGGCGCACAAAAAAGGCAATTTCCGTTGTGGCATAAACAAGACTAAAGACTGTGTGAGTGTGTGTATTGCGGGTGTGCCTGCGCCTGTCTGCGTAGTTTTTATGCGCTCGCATTCAGCGAAACGAAAATTACCAATTCAAATGTCAGAAGTCGTGGCAAGAACGCGCTACACCTACCCCATTCACACACGTCCATGCCGCTTGCCTTGACGCAAAATTAAATTCAGTGTCAATTCGGTTATTTTTTCTTGTCAAGGCCTGCATCTAACGAGGGATCAGCCGGCATTGCCTGTACGTAATCAGTTGCCAAAAATGCCTAAGACAAAGCTGAGACAAATTGTCGTGTGAAAATGCCTGAAGTGCCAAGCAGAACATCCCCAAGCCCGCCAGTTCGACAATTTATTTGCCTCCTTTCTGGCGACCCACGATTTTTCACTGGCTTTTAATTTGTTGTGCGTGCCCATCCGAACGAATTTATGCCCCAAAATTGGTTGCGGGCAGCGCCTTTGGCTCCGGCCGGCTGGTAATAAAAAGTGCAAGTGCTGCAAAAGCAAACTGTGCGGAAACATTCAAGAAGTGTACACTTTGCCGCTGCCTGTTTTTTAATGGATTTGCTGAAAGGGGTTGTAGCACA